TAAAAAACATACTTATTAATTTTATAATTATAATAAACTAAAAATATACTATATATAAATTTTTCTTGTATAATAAACTGAAAATAAACCATATATAAACTTAAATTTACAATTTGTATTATTGTAAATTTATAGTTATAATAAACTAAAAAATATACTATATATAAATTTTCCTTGTATAATAAACTGAAAATAAACTATATACAAATTTAAATTCACAGTTTTTATTCTTGTAATGGTTTATATATTTATAATAAACTAAAAATAAACTAAATATAATTTATAGTAGAAAATCTGGTTTATAAGATAAACTAATAATAAATTAAAATAAATTAGATATAAAGTTGTAGTAGAAAATCTGGTTTATAAACCCAACATTAGATCAATATATACAAACAAAGGCAAACAATATTTTGCATCCTGTATTTACATGAATGAAATATTAACACAATTTTATTAGATTTTCTACTTCTGTATTATGATTAAACATTTTTTCTTTATAAAATCAACACATGGTTTTTCTCAGGCCATTCTAAGAGATCCGTCCGTTTCTATTTGGTAATTTTTTGTTTATTAAATTGGGCAAGAATATCAGTTATATTGATTTGCGGCAGAATTAAATTACTTTAGGGGGCGCTTGTTTATGGATTTTTTCAACCAAAATATTTCATTTTGTTAACTATAGTTAAAGTTGAAAAAGTAATGTGGTTAATTGTTAGTGGAATTTAAAAAATATATTAAAATAATATTTAAAATAAAAATGATTAAAGTTGATTTGATATAAAGTATGAGATAAATGATTGAAAATGATTGGTAGTTAAAATTATGTGAGTGGATGAATAGTGAACTAAAGTTGATGTGATGTGTAAGAATCATTGATTTTTATTATTTAATTGTATGAATAATATTAAAGATAGTGGGGTTGAGTTAAAGTTGAGTTAAATATTTGAGTTGAAAAAATTGGATTGAAAAAATCCATAAACAAGCATGCCCTTAGTTAGTTGCTTTTTTTTACTTTAACTATCGCATGCCTTTTTTTTTATTTTAACTATCCTATTAGCTAGGGGGCAGAAAACATATTTATGTGGATTAATTTGGGATTGAAAACTTTATCTCGTAAATTTTTTATTTCGCTGTCCAAGTGTCGTCGTAGTGTACTTTAGCCCCGATTCTTCTACGAGTCCACTTAAATATTAGACGAGTCGACTCATCATATTTTTTTGAAAAAAATGTCAACTGGTAATATCAAATATTCATATTTTGCTATATTTCTATTTATAATATATATATTTTTTATTTAAATATGACACCTTGAAAGTACGAGTCGCTGTTAGTAGTCTCATACAAGTCTCGTGCATACCTGACAACATTTACTTCCTTAATTAATAAATAATAAATAAACAATACCCATTTTCGCAGTTCTAGAATAACAACAATTACTAGTATAATATCCGTGTATCAGATAATAAATAAAATGTATTTCAATGATACAAAATAAGGACAAGTAATACATGTAAGAAAGTTTAAGTAGTAGCTAAAAATTAAACAGTTCTTGCACTCAATTAGTACAACATGATATTTTTGACACGTATGATTAGGGGTGAGCAAAATCGAGCCAAAATCGAAAACCGAACTGAAATGAGCAAATGATGCGGTTCAGTTCTTTTTTTATATTGTGGTGCGGTCCGATTATTGTTTTTCATAAGTTTGATTTTCGATTTTGTTCGGTTCGGTGCAATTTTGCACCGAACTGCACCAAATTAAATAAAATGTATAGAAAAACCGAGAAACAAACCGAAAACCGAAAACCAAACCATGCATTTCGATGCGGTTAGGTTCAATTATTTTAGTGCAAAAAAAAATTGATGTGATTTCGGTTCAATTTTTTTAAATTACGGTGTAGTTTGGTTATTTCTTTTTTGCTATGTTCGATTTTACGTGTGATTCGAAAACATGCGAACGGATACTTAGGTTCAACATGTTTTATTTTTTATTTTTTATTTTTTTAATATGTTTTGAATTAAAAGGGATTATAGTGCACCCATTGAATTGTAAAAGCTTATGACGTCGGCCACTGCATTGTCTGCATAAAACCAAAAAAAGCAGAATACAATTTCTTACTTTATTTCAATGGAGATGGAGAATAGCAGAGCGGAAAACGAGAGACACGAAAAAGCAAACGTGATGGCTTTAGAGGAACATAAGCTGAAAGCGAAAAATCAGAAGAAGGCGACGAAAAGGTATTATTCCTTAATTTCGAATTTTGGGTGCTTCAGATCGGACGACGCCGTTCAGGCGGCGGAGAAGCCGGCGCCAGAAGACGGCGGGGGTTTCGAGATCGAAGCCGCTGGCAACGGGAGGGAGCAATCGCCGAACCATCTGATTGTCATGGTCAATGGAATTATTGGAAGGTTCGAAAACTCGATTCGCAATTTCATCTCCATTTTTGTTATCTTAAGCTGCCAATACTGAGTTGATAATGTTTTTTGCAGCGCTCGAAATTGGAGATATGCGGCGACGCAGTTTGTTAAGGCGTACCCTAATGATGTTATAGTACACTGTGAGCTCTATTTTCTGCAAACATTTGGGTCCTTTTCAGATTAAGATATTTTGAATCAAAAATTAGAAGTTGGAGATAGAAACAAAGGTTTTTTCTTTATGAATTTGTGATTCTTTTACTACGATCTGACTTGTTTCCTTCATGTTGTGAGATTATTTCTTGCTTTTTCCCCCAGAAACAAGGAACCATACAATTAAAATCTAGATAATTAAACTTCTGTAGCGCCTACATAGATAATCATAGGCTGGCTGTCTACTTAACCGATACGAGACAGATGTCGTTGAAGTATGAAATTTGTTTCTTAAACCAATTTTTCAGAAATGTGTTCAACCCCCTGCCCCCATTGATTTTATCAGATATAACTGTCTAAGTTTCCAGTATGCAGTTTAATAAGAATAGGATATAGTGGGTGAATGGACAGTCGAAACATTGTTTCTAGAATCTTCCATCTTCATCTCAGTCACCAAAAGTTGCAACTCTTTAAATGGTCTTCCAAATAATCTGTATTGAAGGGAAAATAAGATGGATGTCTTAAACTGAACTGTTCTCACTTGACATGCAAATGTCCAGGCTCCGAATCAAACTCTTCAATGTTGACGTTCGATGGTGTAGATGTCATGGGAAAGAGATTAGCAGATGAGGTTCGTAATTCATTAAACCACAACATTTAACTCTATTTTTTTGTTATTTTTTCGATTTCTCTCCAGTCACTAATATATATAAGTGAAGCTGCTACTTGAAGCAGAAGTTTCTAAGCTTTAAAAGGTGTGTTTTTGCCTTATTCAATTTTTTCAGGTGATTTCTGTTGTAGGTCGTTATCCAAATCTTCAGAAGATTTCTTTTGTATCCCACTCGCTCGGTGGCTTGGTGGCAAGATTTGCTATTGCCGAGCTCTATCAACAAAATTTTATTATGAACTCTGGTCAGGATAATGGTGAGGAGGATGAGAGTCGGAATTTATCTTCAGAAGAGAATAGGTTAAGGGGAAAAATTGTTGGACTCGAGCCTGTCAATTTCATCACCTCTGCAACTCCGCACCTCGGTTCCAGGGGCTATAAACAGGTCCCCTTGTTCATTATGGTTTCACCCCTCATCCCCTGAGAATGAATTTGCTCTTAAAGTTCAGGATAAACTTTTGTTTCAATGAAAATGTCTAACGTCAGGTTGACGATTTTATTAGTTGGCTGTCGTAGTGAAGTAACAGGATACGTGCTCTATGCTTATCCTTGATTTTAAAAGATATTTCCTGATATGTTATATCTTCTTACGTGTGTGTATGAGAGTGGGAGAAGTAATCTATCTCTGCTTAAGTTTTATTCATTTGAATGATTATTCACGGTGTATCCTTGATGAGTACCATAGCGTACTACTGAGATGCCTTCAGATTAATTCATAAGATATTCGCGTTTATTTCTTATGAAATCACATGATGATCATTGCAGGTCCCTGTATTCTGTGGGTTTCACACAATGGAAAAGCTAGCATCACGTAATTCGTGGTTACTCGGTAGAACAGGAAAACATTTATTCTTGAGTGATGATGATGGTGGTAAACCTCCTCTTCTGCTCAGAATGAGCAGTGACTCTGAGGATCTTAAATTCATGTGAGCTGTTATCAATTTATAAAGGTTCTTCGAGCTTTTTAACAAGTGAAGTGGATACTGGATTAAAATTTTTATACTCTTCGCTGCAGATCGGCGTTGGAATCATTCAAGAGGCGTGTTGCCTATGCAAACACACGTTTTGACCGTATCCTTGTTTTATTTTAGGATGTTTCGTGCAGTAAATTTTTGATGTTTCCATTTTCCAAAAGTGTGCTTCTGCTTGATTTAAAATCAGAACAATGGTGCCTTAGATTTGTAACCATGCTTCTCATCTAGATTTTTTCACTAACAAATCAAGTATCTTTTGCAAATTTTCTTCTAAAAGGCTTTTTTTTTTCCTGCATATATTCTAAAAACCGATTATATGATGTCCCTCCTTGATGCTTAATGTAGATCTTGTCGGGTGGAGTTCTTCATCATTGCGTCGTCAGCATGAGCTTCCAAAAGTGAGACTCTGAGCCCATATACATATTGCTTCTATTAATATGTATGAAAGATACCTTACTGTTCTTTTCGCTTTTTCTTTTTATTTAAGCATCGGAGTCTGCTTAAGAATCCTAAGTACCCACATATCGTAAACGAGGAACTACCGAGGACGACCAAATCTCAAGAAGTTACTTTGGAAGCTAGTGCTGCCTCTGGCAGGGGCAGGACAAGTGACATGGAAGGTGAGTTTATATGAATTTGTCAAGGTTCAAATTGTTTCTGTCATATTATAAGGTCGTACGACATTGTTCTATTTTAATTTGTTTTTTTCTTTTTAATCTTTTACTCTCTAATCAAGTCGTCTCGGATAGGACAAGTATAAAAAGATTGCTTTGCTCAACCGAGAAGCGAGATATTTAATACCTAAGATTATGTTAGTTTCATGCTTTTGATACAATTCCAATGTATAACTTGAAGCTGTTAATGGTTGGATGTTGTCATATAAAAGTCTGAACTTGAATTGTGTAAGAAATTGCAGAGACAATGATAAGAGGCTTAACGAAACTGAGTTGGGAAAGGGTCGATGTTAACTTCAGCGGAAGTGTTCAAAGATTTCTTGCCCACAGTACAATTCAGGCATGCATGCTCAACTCTTTTGGATCTATTCTGTCCATGATATTATAATTTTTTTTTTTTTATATCCCATCCCGAAAAATCTGAGGTAATTAAATATAGGTAAAGATTGTTGAGATTTGCTTCATTCTTACAGTTTAACAAATCTCTTTGTAGGGCTCACTGCAGTTGCTGATTTTGTAAAATATTTTATAATATTACATCATTCAGCTTTTCTAAGAATAAAAATGGCTCCATCTTTACAATTTACGAAAGCACACAAAAAATATTCAATCTCAACTCAAAATCTAACTAAGTCATACTATTCTTAATGTTATCAATATAATTAACTAATATCAATCCATTATTCTTACCTATCACACTTACTTTAATTCACTATTCATCCACTCACATAATTTTAACTACCTATTACTTCCAATCATCTGTCTCATACTTTTAATCAAATCATTTTTAATCATTTTATGTTAACTGTTATTTTGATACAAACATAAAATTCCACTAAAAACTAACCATACCAACTTTTGAAAAAAACACTGGTTAAAAAAATTAAAAAACCAATCAAATATCAATATATCTATAAACAAGCACACCCTTAGAGTTTTTCCTTCATAGCTCATTTTTCTACCAATAACTAAAAAAAAATTCTGTGTTAGGTCAAAACTCGGCGTATCTATTCTGCTGGTGTGGATGTAATACAACATATGATCGACAATTTTCAATTATAAAGTACTTTTGTTGAGTTGTCTACTGCTAAGGTTCTATGGTGATTGGTGAGTATGCCCGTGTTTACAAGTTCCTAGACACGCTCAACTTTCGATCAATCTATTGAGAAAATGTTTGAAGGTCCAGAGATTCAGAACGGCAGAAAATTTTACAGATTTAGAAGGCAGCACCAATGAAATAGCTTGGGGTATGTTGCTCCTACAGTTACATTTATATTAGCAGAAAATTCAATGTTGTAGCCAAATTTTACCAAAGAGAATAAAGATTTCAATTTTGTAACACATGCCTTAGTAACCTGGTAATTAATTTGTTCCCTCAAGTTGCTTTTTGATATGTCCCTCTATCTAGAGTGTAAAATACATTTTGAATAATCACCACTTAGTTATCTTAAAATTAACAATGAATTTGGTCCTCTGTGTAGAAATTCTCCATAAAACAGAAATGCATGGGCCACAATTTGCAATAATATGAAGAATGAGGCAAGCAACTTTTCTGTAAAGCATGGTGAGTGGTGCAGGCAGGCAGGGTCTACTGAAATTTGGTAGTTTAGAAATTGATGCCTCATAATCTCAACCATAAAATATGTCTTTTTTTTTTTTGAAGTTCTAACTCAATCTTACAACTCAATAATTTTATTGAAGAACTTGAGATATTTTGAACAAAAAAAAATCTCTCTGGCGGTTTTTCCCCATTTGAACAGTAAAATCTAGCCGTCGGTTTAGTGTCGGTCTCCTCCCAGCGGGGTGCTCCTTGCTGCCGTGGTGTTGCCCGTCACCGGACCGTGCTCCCAGACTCCAGTCACATCGTGGCCATCTCGGTTGGTTAGTGTTTTGCCGCTCTGTAAGTGGTTACCGTTTTGGAT